ATATCGAATTGATTCACTCTAGTCCTAAATATCCACAGTCAAACGGTTTGTCTGAAAAAGCTGTTGGAATTATAAAGTCTTTGTTAAAAAAATGTAAAGAAGATGGTACAGAGTTTGCGATGAGCTTGTTAGCATACAGAACTACACCTGTAGCAGGGTTAGAGTACAGTCCTTCTGAGTTACTCATGTCAAGACTCCTTAGAACTACATTACCATGTGTATATGATAAATTAAAGCCAAAATTACCTATTAATGTCACAGAAAAAATGAAAATAATTAAAGAAAAGTATACACAGAATTATAATAGGACAGCTAAAACTAAAAAATCATTTCAAAAGGGGGAGAATGTTGTAATACAGAATGTGCCTAATAAAACATGGTTGCCGGGGAAAGTTTTAGAGAAAGTTAAACCGAGATCTTACAAAATTATGAATGAGGAAGGCAATGTAGTTCGAAGGAATGAAAAGCATATAAATCCTAGCAAGAATAAATTAGTTATTAAGAGGGAAGTACTGGATAGTGATGATCCTGTTAGGGATAATAGACTGGGAAATAATAATGTTGTTCCTAACATTTCTAGGAAACAAAATGTTACTACTGAGGTTCCTTTTACTACTAGGTCAGGTAGAGTAGTTAAGACACCGCAATATTTAAAAGATTATTGTGTGTATTAAGATGGCTATTCTTAGTCTGTAACCTTTTGTTATGTTTAAAAGTAATTTTATTAAGTTTAAGATAAGTGCCAACTTAACAGAGACTTGTGTGTTACTGTTTATCCTACTTGTCATACAAGGGGGGATGTTCGATATGAATGTAATACATGTAGGTGTGAGCTGTGGCAACACCAGGGAGAATGAGTTTACACACATAATAATAAAACAAGATGTCGTCATATAAACGTTAGATCTTTTATTTCATACTACAAATATAACAGTCAATAATGTCCAAAAATAATGTGACACCTCTTGAAGTACAAATATATTTTATTAAATCCTCAATAATATCAGTAATATATGACGATACCTATAGTCTGTTTTTTAATCTCGTAGACTAAATTGACACATGCAAATGTCAAATTTACAAATAATGTTGCCAGCTCTTTTGTGCAGTGTTGTACCTACGATACCGGTTTCTTGAATCGTAACTTTTTATTTATAATAAACGAATTTAATTTTAATTCAAAGTTTTATATTTAAAATTTACATACGTACACACGGGTGCACGACGTGCTACAAACTACCAGGGAAATCTGACCACGCAACGCCATGCGTAACCCGACCATGTTTCGATGCCTTTAAATTAAACAAAAAAAAATTATAGACGCCATCAGTGTTGTTCCCGTACGCGTTAAAACGGCAATCTTAACCCTTTTCTCTTACGAAACGGCAGAACTTAAAAAATACGGCAATTATGGAACTTGACACCATACGAACAATTGTACGAATACGTAATACGAACGATTGAGTTGGTCTGGGCTCAAGTAAAGGGGCATGTCACTAAAAATAATAAAACATTCAAAATGAATGAAGTACGAAGCCTTTTTGAAGAAGGGCTTCGTCAAGTGACCCCGCAGCAGTGGAAAGACTGTGTAGTCCATGTAATTAAAATTGAAGATCAAATGTGTCATCTGGGCCATATAACCGACGACATTACTGATAGGTTTATCATAGAAGTAGGTGGCGATTCTGATGACTCAAAATATTCCTCACACATGCGAGTCATTATTTGAATCAGATTAACGCGAATACCTGTAATTAAGTTATGTAATTGAAAATATATGTTTTACATTATTAATTTTGTATTATTACGTTTTAAATAAGTACCTACACATTATTCCAGGATAACTTATTGTAAAAAACGGTACTTGATTTTATTAACGCTAAGTTTCGGTTGTGCCACATCACTATTTAAGAATTGCAATAAACTGACAACACTCGTAATGTCAGTTTAGTCTACGAGATTAAAAAACAGACCTTAGATGCCAAAAAATATCTGACATAGTTCTAAGTGTGATCAATTTTTGTTCAATTTTTTTTTATTCTTTAAATAAGTGGAGTTTATTTGTAATTATTTTATTTATTTCTCACCCTCTCTTATTCTCAACCGTCCCCTCGCATGATACTCGCGTCCATAATTACATTCTTACATAAACTGTCATCCTTCTATATACTCTAAAAATACACCTATTACAAACTACACACAGTCACAGTTAATTCTGCTTTAATTTTGCATCTCATATACCATTTTTGAAGGGATAACTTCTTATGCGAGGGTAAACCGCTTCGTTATGTAACGCGTTACGGCGCCAGTCTGTCAGGCTTCCCTTTCTCTCACGCATACAGCAGCGGTAGGCAGGCTCCTCCTCTCTCACTCTAACCCACAGCGCTAGCCGTATTTCGGACAGACTTTACATAAAATTTAAGTAATAACCTAAGCTTTTCTCAAGTTAAGCAATTTCAATATTAAATAGTTCAACTTAGATTGCCTAGATTACTTAGAGGCCTATGTCCAGCAGTGAACTAGTAAAGGCTGTTGATGATGATGATGAACTTAGATTAGTTATCACTTCTATCGGGCGTCCCGAGACGTTTTTTTTTTTATAATCTATTTAATTCTTACCGAGAGTAGGGCACTGGTGACCTGAAGCACAGGTTTTCACTTTAAAATCTACATCTCATAGTCTCTCACATAGGTGAAATTTAACAGAATATCATAGATTATGTTTTTAATTATAAGACCTTTACCAATTGTAATAAGAAAATAAATACATTTATTATTATTCTTATTATATAAACATTTAGAAAAAAAATGTTGTTTTTTTTTCTTTATGTTAATTTTTACATACCTACGTATCTGTACTAATAAGGTGGGTGGACCATGGAAGGCCACGCTCCTTTGAAGGCCAACTGTTAAAAAGTCATAGTTATTGACATGTAGAGACATATTCCTTCTACTACACACTACGATCCATCAAACTGTAGGCCACATACGCGGCGGCGAGTCGCTCGCGCCGCTATTGTGGCAGTGCGATCTCACGCTTCGTACACTTCGGTCGTCGACGTTACAATTGTTATTCGCGCGCACAGCAAAACGTAAGTTTTTAGTAAAATAACCTATTGTTTCCTTATATTTTTTACTGTGAATTGTCGTGTAAGGATATTTTTATGGAACTAAAGAAAAAAAAAAAGAAATTGCCTCGATTTAAGTGAAAATATTGGTAGTGTTCCTAGGAAAGCCGGTGGTTCCTTATAAGGCCAATCAAAAATTTGACGGTTGGCCTTGCTAGGGAACATGGGCCTTACATCTATAAACCATGAACATATGAACACTTAATATGTAGTTATAAATACGTACCGTTAAAGTTAAAACAATGTTTTATATTTATAATTTTTTTGAAGGGTTTTCTAACTTTTAAACTCAGATTGAATAGACATTTTTTTTTAAATTATTTCATTTCCAGTATATATTTAAATTTATTTTATGTCTATGAAGAGGTTATGTCTGGAAATAAACTAAACTAATTTACATGAAAAGCAACGAATATAAAAATATTTGCTTGTTAAAAGCGGTAAAGTAAGTATGAGATAAGTAAAAAATTGTATATCTAAGTATAGTCTGTCTAAAACTATAATTAAAGCAAAAAAAAATTATATCAATAAGTTGGTAATTGAACAGATGATTAAAATTTATACGTATTATTTCAGATTTCAAGAATGTCACAGTCAAAACCTAGAAAAAGAGGTAGTACATGTTTAAGATTTTAAACATTCCTGACTACAAGACTGACTATGTGCCATGATAAGTTTGTAATAATTACAGTACGTCTGTAGTGTCTATTATTTGATTATAATTAATATAAAAAAGTCATATATTGTTAGTTTGGCCTTCTTAGGAACATTGTGGCCTTACAAAGAACAGAGCCTTAAGAAGGCCATATAAGGTAAAAAAAAAAGTTTTTAATTTGATTATAAAACGCGTTGGCAAGTTATTTTATATCAATATAATATTTATTACTACTAGTTTTAAATAATTTCCATTAATATATTCTTAGTTATACGATGGTGTTCAAGTAATGTTCATTGTGTTTTTTTATAGATAAAAAAATATATTGTGCATTTAATGTTTCGCTTAAATGAAAGAGCTTATTATGTAGTTTTAGTAAAAGCGGATATATTAATTGTTACAACTCTATTTTTAAGTTGAACGACTGAATTATAATATTGGCCTTGTTTGGAGCCCTGTTCCTTGCAAGGCCATTTGGAAGAGCTTAATAAAACTTAAGTTTAATAAATAGTTATTAAAGCTAGGTAAAAAAAAAGTGATTTCTATGGTACACAATAAACCAAAGTATGCCTTAACAATTTGTTTCCTTCATTTATGCAGTAAATTTACGAATAAAAAGTGTTTATTCTTTAGAGTGGCCTTCCATGGTCCACCCACCTTATTATAAAGAGGAAAGATTTTTTTTGTTTGTTTGTATCGAATGGGCTCCAAAACTACTGGTCACATTTCAACTATTTTTTCACTAATAGAAAGCTACATTATCAGGAAGTAACATAGGCTATTTCTAAATAACTTAGATATATGCAAAAAAAAACAGGTTATCATAACCAAGGTTTAAAAAAGCAGGCAGCTAGTATTATATAAAGTGAAATGTTCATTTCATTACTGAAAATATACTCGTATGTATAGGTTATTTATTACTTAAATAAGTATTTACTATAGTATGTTGAATACACTTTATTTCACGTAGACAGCATTGAGATCCCTGCTCTTCAGTGTACTATGAGTCCAGTATTTGTTATTATTACATTTTATTTTTTAGCAGAGTTTTAAGATTGAACTTCTAAGTTTAAAATAATTAACGAGCACTGACAGAAAACAGGACTTTAATACCTACTAAGGAAATAGAAAAAAAGTTTGTAAATATTATTTTATTTTACTTAACACTAATTATATTCTATAAACATTATTCTAAAATATCACTTTTTTATAATTATTTACAAAAATGGCGGCTGAAGAGTTACTTGGCGCAAGTACTTGACACAATCACATCCAGAAAGACCACATCCACATCCATAAGACGGCACCTCTACTGCCGGTAGCAAACCAACTGGTGATTGGATTGCAGGACACGAGCAAGGACCCTGGCATCCACATGGAGCTGGGGCACCACCACACCCACAAGGTCCTTTACATCCACAAGGCGAGAAAGAAGTAGGACAAGAGCAAGATCCTTGACAACCGCACGATAAAATTTGGTATTCAGGACATGAACACGGTGTTTTACATCCACATGGAGATAATGGAACTCCAGGACATGAACAAGGTCCTGCGCAACCGCATGCTGGTACTACTGGCGCACGACATCCATCAATTTGAATAAGAGCCCCTGGAGAATAAGATGGTATTTCAATCACCGAAGCCATATTTCCGTAAGAGAGTAAATCCATTGGCGTTGTATATTCTCTTGCGCAAGGTAACTTGACAGCTGGAGCCCTACATCCACACTGAGGTCCAGGACATCCACATGGCAAATCTACTGCAGTAAAATATTCCACGGTTGGTAAAGACATGGGGGCAGGGAGAACTCCATAGCTAGGTATTTCTATTGAAGGGAAGAGACATCCTAAGGGACTGAGTTCCATTAGGTCAGCATATCTGTAATTTGGAATGTCTACTACTGGGGGTTTATACCCAGCAATGCCAATTTCAAAAGGTGCTATTGGTCCTAGGGCGGGTTCAATGATAGGTCCACGACATCCAGGGTAGGCAATTGGTAGAGGAGTTAGAGTGCCTATTGGAGCCTCGGCAATAGGTCCTCGGAATCCAGGAATAGCTATATCAAGAGCTCCCAGTGCTCCTAAGATTGGGTCTATCGCTTGACCTCTGCAGCCGCAATTTATAATATCAGCAATAGGGTTCTGGCATCCACATGAGGGTGATACAATGTTTTGAAGGCTTGTTTTTTTAATTTTTGTCTTCATAGACTTCCGCTTCATCGCTAGTGCATTGATCTGTAAAAAAGAGAAGACAGGTTTTGTTTATTTTATGAACCTGTTTCGAAACAAAGAATATTTTAAATAAACGTTTTTAGTACTGAGGGTAAAAGCTGCTAAATATAATTACTACAGGCTGAAAACAATAATGGCATGTATAGAAAAGAAGTCATCATCAACAGCCTTTAACAGTCCACTGCTGGACATAAGCCTCTCCTTAGAAAGGAGGTTTTGGACTACTATACCACGCTAGCCAGACGGGTTGATATAGGGTTTGGGTCAAGCTTTCCTTCTCTCTGCAGTGCTGTTGTTCTGCGAAGTTTTTTCAGTTAGTCGGCTCTTACGATACCCACGGGATTAATAGGGGTGGTGACTCTGTATTCTTAATCCGTCACCACACCAAGCCTAAACTAATAAACTCTATTCATAACAAAACTAACGAAGAAAAGAAGAAGCGAGGACATAAGCTAGTAGGAACCTTAGGTTTGTTTTTTGTTATAGTATGTAAAGTATCATCTAAAAACTTTTGCTTTTGAGTATGGAACCCCCAGGACTTCATACCAGGCCTATCGGGGAATCTAATATTTTCTATGAGACAGGAGATTACCAGTTTTTCTTTGTTATCAAATTAAATTAAGGAACTTCTTTATAGATAGAGATAAGTTTTTATACTTACAGAAACGCACGCTGATATTATAAACAAAATTGTTATTTTTCGCAAATACATTTTTAAATAACTATTGTTTTATTTATTAAACACTAAAACAGTATTTAATTGATGAGAATTTAATGATTAATTAATAACATTAAGTTAGTATTTATATGTATTTTTGTTTGATTAAACTTATATTGCGTAGCCTTTTTTATCAATTTACATAATCTTGTATCTTTTTTTAATAATCAGTGCAATATTTTGAGTAATTTCTAATCTTATCGATTACTTCTTGATTGCCTTCAATTGTATATACGTTGCATTATTTTAAGAAAGTTGTCTTTTGACTTATCCACCTTTTAATTTATCAGAAGAGAAGGTACCTAAGCATTATTCAAACGATTTATGATTCATTTACCAGGAAGTTATTACATCGGAGCTCATTTCCGCGACAAGTACACATCGTATGTGGGTCGGAAACCCGAGAAAGGAAGGCGTTCCAGAGAGGTTGGGACCTTCGGTGGAACCTGGCGTACGATGCGGTCTTGAGGAGCAGTTTTCCCACAGGAGTGTCATTTGCTACGCAGACTAGGAGGTACGGCTTGTGTCGTTCTAAATATCAGCGATCTGGGCCTACGGGTAGTACCATCGCAATCGCGACGCAATTGAACCGCAACGTAGTGATCGGGCCGATTGATGGGGGAAAGCTGTCGCTTCCCCCGGTATAGTGCCTGGTTAGGCGCGGTGTAGGTTCGGGGAAGGATCTAGAAATGAAATGTCTGGGTCCTCAACAGAGAAGGGCGCCTAAGGGGGAAATAGGGGCACTTAAAGGTTTCCAACGCTCTAAAGTTTAAAGTATACATGGGCGTCGATAGTCACTTTCCATCAGGTGACCCGTCTACTCGTTTGCTGGGGGCAATACCATAAAAAAACTAAGTTGGGTTTGATATATTCAGAGATTTTTACAAGAAATTTGGCTCGATCCCTTGGCGTTACGTAGAGATGTGGCTTCACTCTGCATTCTCTATCGTATATATCATGGAGAGTGCTCCGAGGAATTGTTCGGACTAATACCCGCCGCAACTTTCACACGGCAAAATTTTCATCACTTAGATAATTGGCGCTTCACCACTGTGTGCTTTTCAAGACACTTATTGCCTCGCACAACTAATCTGTGGAACAAGTTATCGTCTGTGGTATTGCCGGACAGCTACGACCATCAAACCTTCAAGAAAAGAGCATAATCCTTCCTAAAATGTCGGCAACGGCTTGTGACTCCTGAGTTGCAGGCGTTCACGGGCGGCGGTAGTCGCTTTCCATCAGGTGACCCGTATGCTCGTTTGCCCTCGCTTCCATCAAATAAAAACCGGTCCATTCGAGTCGACCTCGTGCGCCAAGGGTTCCGTACCTATCCAGATTTTACGTAAATTTGTAAGTACAAAAATTTATTTAATTTTCAACTTTTTTTTATTTTTTGGAATTATTCCCATATTTGTGCTGTAAGTTTCTATTTGCCAAATTTTAACAAGTAAAGAAAAAATTCTGAAAAATAAAAGAAGTTGAAAATTAAGGTAAATTTTGGTACTTAAAATTATTCGCGAAAATCGAAATTTGCCCATATCCTTTTATCGTGTTGACTCAGTACTTTGATTTTTATACACCTAATAGGGACCATAGACCTCAGTATGTGGTATAAATTTCAACTTGCTAGGTGTACTCGTTCCTGAGAAAATCGGTGGTGACACACGGACAGACGGACAAGAAAGTGATCTTATAAGGGTTCCGGTTCCTTTTTTACCTTTTGAGGTACGGAACCCTAAAAATACAGAAATTATATTGTAATAGATACCAATTATTTTCAGGAGGCAAACAAAACAAAAAATATTTTATATTTAACATATATTTCTAACAATATACAAATTAAATCTTCTATATGTATACATGGCAACATTGTCTCCAGTAGATAGTACATAGATTTTTTCACATAGATTAGAAAACACTTGTAAAAGTTGCAAGAATAATTATTTAGGTTTGAATGAGGCAGGCAGCATTCTTCTGCGGTTATTGGAGCTGTTAGACTGGAAAAGAACCTTCACTGTACAGAAGAATGTTTTTTTTAACCATTGAAGTGTATTTTTTTATGAAGTGACATAAGTAGTGACATAGACAATGACATACAGCCTTGTTTGTGGTAACTCTTTTCAAAAAGAGAAAAAATACAGTATGATGATTTATTTACTGTATTGTTTTTTTAATAACCTAAGAATGAAAGTTTTCTAAGTCATAAATAATTAGTGGAAGTAAGTATATGGTATGAGAGTCTTCTAAAAGAAGAATGTATAGATAAAAAGCATGATCAACGAAAGTGACCAATGAATAGGCTGTCCCTTTCTAAATCGTGTTTTGGACTCTTCCCCCACAGAGTTTTACATAGGCTTTTTTAAAGGTCAGCTTACAGTGAAATCAAGAAGTCTTCTTTCATCTTTAGAATCAAATTTGAGGAATTAAGACTTAGGTCACATTCTTAGGGTGCGATATAGAATAATATAAAGAAAGATAGAATGAAAGTTCATTGTCAGCTGGGCAGCTCCAATTCAAACAGAAATTTACGGTGCCCAATGTTTTTTACAAGTAAGTAAGTACAGTCATCGAAATCATAGTCATATTTAAACCATCAGCCGTAATGGATGAGTGGTGGACTCAAATTCATCAGGTAAAATTGACTTTCACAATTTTCAAGCTCAATTTATACATTTCTATGTTACAACTGGTCTTTGAGCACAATATTTACCAGAAAAAAATATTACATCGACAACATTCACACTTCCCACAGCCCGCCCATCCTCATTCTGACCGCGGCGGGGGCGGCTTACCGCTTGCTAGAACCTTCTTCATTGTCTTCATCATACTGGGAATAATTCCGATGTGTTTATCGACACATTTGACTGCACAATTCTCGAATTCTATGGTACATTTGTCTATCTGAAAAGAAAACTTATTTGAATTTCTTGACGTGTCATCATATTAACACGCTTTTCTTAGATAGACCTCAGACCTGACCCTCAGAGGGCCGAGTGCAAGTTTATTTCACATCGACTCGCACTCGACGGCGAGCGCGTTTAGCGTTGCGATTGGTGGAGATTTCAGTGCGGGCCAATCGTAGCGCCGAACGCTGTCACCGTGATGATCGAGTGGAAGTGAAATAAACTCGCACTTGGCCTCCTTTCATACAACAAAAAAAAAGTAGAGGCCTATGTCTAGCACTGGACTATTAAAGGCTGTTGACCTAAACATAATGAGAGTAGACAGAAGTGTATTAAAACACATTTTGTGGGTTTGTTCCGGGTAATCTTCTAAACGGCTGGACCGATTTCGATAATATTTAACTACCAGGCAACTGTCTGTATAAGGAATAACTTAGGCTATTTTTCCTCTCAGAAAAACCGTTTAAAATTTTGCCCGGTCCGGGCATTGAACTCACTAAAGCAGCGCTTTTCAAATTCCACGCGAACGAAGTCACGGGTACCAGCTAGTATTATATATCCTACAATATTTGTCCTGGATATGAATCAAACCATTGGATTAGCAATCAAGATCGCAAGCCGCTGGGCCAAAAGGACAAATACACATAACTTTAATAATATGGAATTTAATCAAAAAGTTCTAGCATCATTACTAAGCCATCACACATTTGCAGCTGGTCTTGAAAGATAAAACAAAATGGTGTATTTTTTACCGTTTGCTGATTTGGATCTGCTCCCAATTTATCTCTGGCAGCATCGTTGCAGTCCATTACACATCTCTGTAGTCGGTTTTGTAAATGGTTAATTTCATTCTGTAAGAAATAGAAAGCAAATTAGTAAGTTATCCCTTTTTAATGGTCCCGGTAATGTCCTTCCTTAAAAATGTATTTGTTTTCAGATTGGATAGTATATATTAAGGTTTAGAATATAAACTTATTATAATTCATCCGTGTGGAGATGGATTAAGAATACGGAGTGTCACCATCCCTAATCATCCCGTGGGTGAAAACTATGCAGGACAACAGCACTGCAAAGACAAGGAAAACTTGACACAAACCCTATACCAACCCGTCTGGCCAGCGTGGTATAGTAGACCAAAATCTCCTTTTTAAGGAGATCCTATGTCCAGCAGTGGACTACTAGAGGCTCTTGATGGTGATGGTTGATGAAATTAGTGCAAGGAAAATAGATAAAGCTCCTTCGGGATCAGATTGGAAATGATACTGAGGCAGTGATTTCTATCTTGGGAGAGCCACGTTTTGGCACTTAGGCTTGACTGGAGTGACACCACGGCCACACAGAAAACCACTATCAAGCAATCCTTCACCAAGTATATCAGATACCGAAGTAATCTATCTATTTATAAAAAGTGTGTGTGTGTGCAAAAGGCAGAAGTAAAACTTCAGTTTCAGGAGTATTATTGTCGGGGGGGGGTTCTTTACTCGTCTGTAGATGGCCCGAGGTATGTCGGGGCACCAGGAACTTCCTTTCTAGGGTATACCTGGTTCCCCGGCTATTAGTACCCGAGACGGCGTGCGGTTTTAGTTGGTTCGACTCCGACATGCCACCTAAGTTAGGTGGTATCCGAGGGAATTTCCATACGGGAGGAGGGGAGAGGGGAGTATTATTGTGTGTAAAATCAATACAAATAATATACTAATGTATATAAATTTAATTTTAGATAACTTATATAAATAAAAATTATTGATCAAATTAACACAGATGTGTTTTGAACGAATTTTAATACGCAAATGCAAAAAAATAAAACACGTGAATGATACACCACGTTGTTTATGACACGTTTTCTGAAGGCTTTGTTATACGCAGGCGCAAAGACACGTGATAGATCTTCAGAAGATTACAGAAAACACTGCATATTTGTAATGTCTCTCAATCTTTTCAAGGCTAAATGAATTTTCAAATTACAACGGTGCGAAAGAAGTCTCACTTCAAAAATGTTATGTTGGTTTGTGTATGATTCAAAAATTCAAAAAAGTTCTGAATCAATTAGGTTCATTAACTTCAAACTTTGATACTATATACAATCTCTCTCTGGTGTTGTCCTCGAATGCCACCAAGCACTGGAACAGCTCGCTATATTCAATGGGGTACTCCTCCAATGGATTAAAAGGCACAGTAACTCACACGGGAACGATGCCGCAGATGAGTTGGCAAGGAGGGGCTCGGCAACCCCAACCTCTGGCCCAACCCCACTCCTGCCCATATCGTTTAACCAAATACGATGCTGGGTCAGGCAACGGACCTGTGAAGCACACAACCGGAGGTGGAAAAACTCACCCGGCTGCAGACAGTCCAAACTGGTGCTGAATCAAGTCACGCCACGACTAACCTGCAGACTGATCAGTCTTAGCAGGCCGGAAATCAGAATGGTTGTCGGAACTATTACAGGACATCTAGCCCTGAACCGACAACTATTCATAGTCAATGCGACGGACAGCCCCCTGTGCAGGGGGTGTCTGGACGCTGAAGAAACGGCCGCCCACGTAGTCCTGGAATGCGAGGGAGTGGCCACACAACGGGCAAATATCATTCCTGATATAAAGTCGCTCCTAGAAGCCTGTGAACGCCCCAGGAGGCTTCTGCGCTTCTGGAAGGAGCTTGGCTGGCTCACCTAGTCAACCAATCCCCGACGCATAAAGGACCACTCTGAGTCTAAATGCGGAAACCGAGGCCCACAACCAATACCAATACCAATACTATATACAATCCGTTTCAAAGATGGTTTTTATCTATTTTTCCTGACAGTGATGTTTCCCATTTCTGCACAGCGAAGTGACGGATTAAGAATACAGTGGCACCACCCCTATTACCCCTATACCCATCCCGTGGGTGTCCTAAGAGCCGACTAAGGGAAAAAAATACGCAGAACAACAGCACTGCAGAGAGAAGGAAAACTTGACACAAACCCTATACCAACCCGTCTGGCCAGCGTGGTATAGTAGGCCAAAACCTCCTTTCTAAGAGAGGCTTATGTCCAGCAGTGGACTATTAAAGGCTGTTGATGATGATGATGAATCATACAAGTCTAAAGCATTGTAGAAGATAAAGACCAACCTGTACATAATTGTTAGCTTGGTTGAGAGGTGCTGTACAGTTATCTATGCAACCGTGTACTCGCTCCAAAGAAGAATTAGGGTCATCACAGCACTGTGCAGCGCATCTGTGCATATCCCCCTGAAAATAAAAACATGTTTGTTAATTGAAAAGCTTGTTTACTTCTCAAAAGAAACATTTAATCTAAGCTTAGTAAGTAAGAAATATTGTGAAAAGAAAATAAAACAAATTCTAAATTATGGAGCGATCTACAAATAAGCATACATGTAATTATTTTTCATAATAAATGGCAGTTAATACTGGGCACACCAGAACAAAGGATTCAAATATAATAACGTAATTCAAAGGAGTATAATGTCTATTAATCACTTTAAATTCTGTTAATCATTAATTTACATATCATATAATGGAATAGTTTTAAATATATATATATATATTTTTACACATTTGAAATATTTTTTATTGTTCATTGAGTATTTATTTTGACCTGTCATAGAACAAATTCTATAATATTCCCAGCCAAATACTACATGGTCCGTGGAGAATTAGCATTACCATTTAAATGCTGCTAGTCTTCTGGGAACGCTACCAGTAGGCGATGATGCGGAGGAATTTTTTGATGATTGTATGTGAATGTTGTAAATATTTTAATTGCATTATAATATATTTCTTTTTTAACCAAATTGACATTTATATAATATACTAAATTTAGTACTTTTATTAGAATAATGCTTTATCTATGTAGTATAGAAGCCAGTTTTATCAAATTAGTAATTATGATTGGTTTGCCAGATGACAGTAAATGTTATATTTCTAAATACATGATTATAATTTAATATTAATAGTCTAGCTATGATTTTAAATTAATTACACCCAGAAAAAAAATGGTCATGTTTATCACACAATTATTGGCCTAGCTGGTAATGGAACCCATAATGGAAACATGGTTGTAGATCGGCACAGGCATATCGTAGATTTAGTAAAAGCATAACTTTTATTAAGTTTATTTTGTTAACTATTTGACGAAACAGAGATTGTGTGTGTTGATCTACAATCCTAGAGTCTACATAAAAGACGATTTCAAACAATGTACAAAAAAATATAAAATTAAGATATTTCGAGTTGAGTTAAAAACAAATCTTTGGCATAATGTGTTAATTGTTCGTATTTGATTTTGTATTTTTACTTGTTATGTTTATAATCTAAAGTAACAAAGTGTAAGAATAATTGGTATAGGATGGCTCCGTTGACTACCTTATAAGGTAAATTAACTACAACTTTAAAGAGAACAGGGAAAACCCAGCTTCTAGTAACCATTGTATAACCGGTAGTTACATTTCTTATAAGAATTTATACTGATGATGAAATTCAAAACAAAGATTACTGTGCTGTGTAAAAAAACAGAGTCAATTACATTTAAATATGAAAATTATTCAAGTTACAGTATTATTGCATAAGCTTGCATGCTGATCGGCGCTATAACCTAACTTACTTGCATTTTTCGTAAATAACTCTTGTCTAACTCGTTGACAAGGTTCGTCATCTCTTGCTCTATCCTAAATCTTTGAGCTTCAACCATTTTGTGGGTTTATGTTACAAAAGATTAATAAATAAAATTGTTTCTAATAAGAATTTAAAATCCAAAGGACACAAATGACAGTACAGGACTCGGGGAAATTGTAACTGTCACAGTGGCATTCATGACATTAGAGAACATGTGATTAACATTTTTATTGATTTGAGCTCCAGCGTTTCAATACCAAGATCTTCAAGCTAAATTAATTTTGTTTTAATGTTTTTGAATATATTTAGATATTACACGATAAAGATATAACCTGTTGTTGTGATACCCCGGTATATTGTTTATAATAGTAGTAGTAATAAACACGGCATGGTTGCACTGAACACTTTAGCATGAATCATTCCCATAGGAGAACCATGTTTCAATGCATGAAGACCAGCTATATCAGAGTAATACAACGGCCTTACATAAAATCAGTGTTAAGGAGTTCTTTCGTTGCTTTGCACCGAGTTGAGGGAAACACTAAAAGGTTGGCAACGCCCTTGTGTCTCTTCCACAGGTGTCCATAGGCGAATGCATCACTTACCATCACTACCTACCATAAAAGTTGACTTACTTCCTGTGCGCATTACTTGGAGTTTGGTAAAAAAAGGTTTATTTTCTCAAATAGAATAGATACAAGGCCAAATACATTATGGTATCTAGGCGCTAGACTTGAGCCTGTACTTTATTAAAGAGAGATTATTAAAGAGAGTATATATAGAAGAAGAAGACAGTAGAAAGCGGCCAGGTGACCGCTAAAACCACTACGCCATCATATTAGACATATACACACCTACATGATAACAAAGTCTGGAGACTATAATTTTCCTACAAAATTCAGCAACCTTTTACAGGAACCACAGGGTTTTTATTATTAAGCTAATGCGTTGGATATTTGGTAATATCAGTACCGTCATGCAAAACAAAAAAATTGAAAGTAAATAAGTATATAACAAAAACATAGTAAATAAAAATAGGGTTTTAGGAACAAATAATTTATTCGAACACTTAGTACCAAGAGAAATAAATACGTAATTTTAATCCCAACAATATTACAAACCAAGACCAGCTAGAAACCCGTTCAATAGCTCTTGGTCAAAATTATAAATTGGCAACTTTGCAACTAACGCACAAGTATCACATACTGTACCAACATCCTCCGATTCAGCCAAACGACTAAACCGATCTTGAATTAATAAGGGAACTTCATCTATTAAATCTGGCAACACCTGTATTGGTGGAGGTACGAAACCAACCTGATTTATAGACAATTGTGGTGATACAGGCGGACTTGATGATATTTCTTTAAAACTAGATCTAAAATTTGAAGCTATGTCCATGGAATTTGTGTCTAAAATTGTTACAATTGGTGCTACTGGTGGTGCAGGTAAAAAATATGCTTTAGCGGTTTCTGGATAACATTTTGGGGCCATTCGTTCAAACGACTGTGGTCTGTTTGACGCAGATGTCGGTAATATTTCTTTTGAGCTTTCTATAGGACCAGGAGTTTTTAGTGTGCCTGGCCTGATCGGGCCCAGCTGTGCTTCTACTATCTGGAAACGAAAAGAAATTGCAAAACACTTTAGTATTGAAAATGATACAAATCGTATTTCGTAGAAAAAAAAATCTAAAATAGATTTATTAATAAAAGTGTTGGACTAAAGTTTTGATAAATCCTTTGACTATATTTAATGTAATAAACGTATACCTTAAATTCTTAGATTTGAATAAATTAAATTACTGCTACATTTACTAGACATATTTTATTGGGTGTTTTCTATGCATAATATGTATATATTTATGCAAAAAATCTATGTATTCTATAAGTCAATCTAGTTTTCATACTACAAGCTCTGCTTAGTTTGAAACTAGATGGCGTTGTGTATCAGATGTCTGAAATATAAAAAAAATATATGCCCATATATCTAAGCCCAAAGCATCAACTGATATAATAATGGTATAAAATAACTCAATTTAATAAAAGAGTCATTTAGTTAATTCATGAGACAAATATGAGGAAATATTTTTATATACATTTACAAAGATTATTAACAGCCTTTAATAGTCCACGGCTGGACACAGGCGGCATTAAGAAGTACCTTAGAATAGTAGTTTAGGCTTGCTATACCACGCTGGCCAGACGGGTTCGTTGTAGGGTTAGTGTCATCTTTTCTTTCTCTTTGCAGAGCTGTTGTCCTACGTAGTTTGCTGCCTTAGTCGGCTTTTACGATAGCTACGGGATGAATGAAGTATTCTTGATCCCCAGTAAAGTAATTTTATTTTCTAAAATAATCTACTTTAAGACTGACGATGACGCCTTAGGAATTGTGCTTGTGATTTAACCATATGTATTTTTTACTATTGCAACACCTTATTTATGAGTTTTAATATTATTTTGGTTACCTTGATAAAAATAAAATAATTGAAAAATAAGAATAAACTGGTCTTCATCTTGATATAAACTGGACTGTTAGCCACCAATCAACAATGTCAAGCCTATTTAAAACACGATGAAAAATTATCTATTACTTACACAACGATTTCATGGTTTTCTTTCAGATACCATGCATAATTTCTAGACTAAGGAATTGTTGAGAAAGTATACCTATATGAATGATATAAAGTTATACTACGAAATGTATTGTTGTAATAATTGCACGTATTGCCGTCATTGGGAAATAAATGATAAAAATAATAATGTAAATGATTCCAAAAGACATATTTGAAAAAAAATAATTGCGAATTTCATTTTTGCGTGTTGTTCTTGTTGTAAACGACTGTGGACATTAAAATTTTCGCAGTTAATAAGTAGTTACTTTGACTACTCAAGGTCTTCAGATTTGATAAAATGGGTACTAAATAATAATAGGTAGGTAACTTTGACTATTACCCATTTATAGCTTAAAAAATGACTAATAGGTAAGTTTATGAAATAAATGGCCACTGTTCAGCCACCAAAATGTGATATTTTACTTCTAGAAAGTTCTGAAAAAATCATTAGTAATAAATACTCTCTTGCAATATTTACCCAGATATGGGTTACCAAACCACGTTACGGTTGCAATATAGTATTATATACACAATTTAAAAACCGATATAAAGTGTTTATTGCAACATAAAAATGGTATTTATTCAATAAATATATCGTGGTAACATCATTACATACTTTTTAAATTGGTGCAATGGAGTTAAAATACTTTTTCTTTTTATTAGTAGTTTTATGCGGTGTAAGTATCTGTTAACTGCTTTAACTGGTGTTTTGATCATACGTCGTCATCTCTATGTCTATTGTTCTTAAGGTTATATTTTTGATATAATTATAGGTCGGTGTACATTCCCGACAAATCTTCCGCCAGCCAAACCCGATTCTACCAAAACCTATGTGTTATTCAAGCATGGCAACACATTTTCCCGCCGTTATCGAGGCCATAGACTACGGCTGCGGTTGCCAGAGGCCGGTTTGCAGTGATCAACTAATTCTGCCTCCTTTGGCAGTTGAATTACCTCCTGGTCTAGGGTATTTTGAGTCTGCTCTGCCTCTTGTAGCAGATTATTTTGAGCCGGCCATAGAGTACATGATTACTGGAGCATATTTACCTATTACTTCGAAATGTGATTGTTTAACGTTGGCCGCTCCAGTATCTCCTGAAATAGCACCGTTAGTGAAGCCTATTATTTTGTAATAGAATTATATGACAATAAAATTCTGTAAAGTCACTTTTGAATTATTATTTTTGTAAACAAAATTATGTCTAATTTTGTACCACCCTTATCAGTTATTCTATGTTTTTTATTGAAGTGAATAGGTGCAAACTCTAAGTGTAAACTGTTTGTTAAATATTGAACTTGCATTTTTCACATAATACGAATATAGGAATAATATAATTCCTAATGGTAAAGCCCCTATCTAAACTGCTTAAGTACCCAGATAAAACAAAAATGTTAAGAGATCACTTTCGTGTCACGTGACAGTCACAGATGATGTATATTAAAGCCTTAGATAACGGTTGAACAGAAGGCCTTACTACTGTAATAAATAGTATGCGAAAGTTATTAATTTGTTGAAACGTATATTTTTTTTTTATTACCGATAGCCGTTTATCATTTAGTGTGTGTGTGTGGTGGCGGATTAAGAATACGGAGTGTCACCACCCCTATTCATCCCATGGGTGTCGTAAGAGCCGACTCAGGGGAGCACACTGCGCAGTAGGTACAACACCACTGCAAAGAGCAGGAAAACTTGACACAAATAATATACCAACCCGTCTGGCCAGCGTGGTATTGTAGGCTGAAACCTCCTTTCAAAGGAGAGGCTTGTGTCCAACAGTGGACCATTAGAGACTGTTGATGATGATGATGATAAATTATATTATTATAAACTAGCTTTTGCCCGTGAACCCGCGTCAATCTCGGTAATCATCGTAAAAAGTACTCTATAGCACTCAGGAACAACTTAGTTATAATTTTCAAAATCGGATCAGTAGTATCGACAATTGTCCCGTACCTCACAAACTTTACCTCTTTATAATATAAGTTTAGATTAGTATAGATGTCATTTTTATAAAAGAACATGATATTATATAGCCGATAGCCTTCCTCGATAAATGGACTCTTTAACACCACCTTTTCAAGTGGAACTAGTAGTTCCCGAGTCTTTTATAAACACAACTCCCGCACTAGGAATAAATCCTGCTTCGCGGGGGACCTTACAAATATACGTAAAACGGACACAAAGAACACCCAGACTCAGAACAACAATTTGTGAGTCACACAAAGTGTCGTCCCATGTGGGGATCGGACCATCAGCATTCAGCGTAGTAGTGAGCGGCGTGGCGACCGCTTAAACCTCTACGCCATCCGTGCAGATAAATGGTGAGGGATGTAACAAAATTGTAATTTTTAACTCGATAATATGGTACTCTGAACCCATATAAAACTCTTTCAACATTATTTACATAAATTCTATTATCACTTTATCAAAATTAACGTTATTTCTTCAGCAATTCTCACTTATTAAGTAATTACTTAATTTCTATCAAAATATGATCAAATTAATTAAAGATAAGTCACGAACTGGCAATAGCTGTCAGATAAATAATGGAGTAAAATTTATTCTTTTTATTTAAGTATTCATTTTCGTCTAAGGTATACTTCTATACGGCCAGTTTTATTTTTAATTGATTTTCTGAGTACAAATATGGAGTATTTTATATTCTTATGCCTGACAAGTTTTGGAACACAGGTAGGATATTCATAATATATTTAATAAAACGATTCAATGCGATGAATATATTCCTTATTTTGGGGGATAATCCTCTTATTGCATCATAGATATCATGATTTTGGTTCTAAAAGAGTACTTATAGACACAAGATTTTATGTCATATAAGTTTTACGGCGTGCATGTCGGTTATCGCGGTAAAAGGTAGGTAAAAGGAAGGGCACATTCCTCAAGAATCAATCTAGCTCCATACCAAATTTCATCTAAATCGATTCAGCGGTTATTGATTTCCCATACTAACTTTCACTCCCTTTTCTTCCCCTTAAAGGATGATTTTTGGGATTAAAACTATCCTCTATCCTTTCCAAACTCAAACTATATATATATAGATAGTTTGAGTTTGGAAAGGATAGAAAGGAAAGGATGAGTTTGGACATGAAATTTGGTATATGCCAAATTTCATGTAAATCGATTCAGTTTAAGTGTGAAGAGGTTGCAGACACTTATAATATTAGTATGGATTTGGTATATCAGTAGCGATATTATAGCGCACAAAAGCTACTAAGAACTTTTACCTAAAACCTAAATACAAATACATTTTTTTTCTAATTTATAAATAAACTAGCTGAGACCCGCGGTGTTACCGTCGTTTGTTGTTATGGCCGCGGGCAGCGCCGCGGGGCGAAGCTAGTCTAAAAAAAGTAGCCTAAGTTACTCTTTATGTCATCAGCTATCTGCCAGTGAAAGTCCCGTCGAAATCGGTCCAGAAGTTCCAGAGATTACCCGGAACAAACAGACAGACAGACTGACAGACAGACAAAAATTGTAAAAAATGTTATTTTGGCATATGCACCGTGTAAACATACATATGCATTTAGTAAAAAGCGGTTATTTTAATATTACAAACAGACACTCCAATTTTATTTATTTGTATAGATCAATAGATCAATAATTATTACTGATAAAAAAAAAGAAACTAGTGCTGTACGATGAATGTGGGACACAGGCTATTAGTATAATTTAAAAAAATAACATTCATAAATAAATATTTCTATTTTTTACAGATAATTAGCGCCCAAGTTTTACGACCGCCGCCATTTAACCTTCTAAATAGACCAGAGACGATAGTAGAAACAGGTAATTTCATATCTGCGGGTTCGCCTACAGTCATCAGCGAGCCGCCTATCAACAGCCTAGTACCATTGCCTAACGTCGTTTCAGAGCCTAGCACCACCATCATCACGGATTGTTCGCCTACCATATGCAAAAATTTAGCAAATACTATACAACTAATGATTGTATGTCATTTAATAGAAAATAGCAGAGGCAATTCAGAATTAGCTATGCAATTGGCAGGCCCAATAATAAATGAAGTAATGTCTTTACCGACATTATCTTGTGGGTGTGCTAATCCTCTATTTCCTAACGTTGTTTCTCCAAATTTAATTTCCAATAATATAGTGTCTTCAAATATTTTAGGGCCTAACGTTGTACCATTAATGCCTAGAGTTATTTCGCCTACTGGTGCTTGCCCTAATAGCGCAGTGCCTAACGTCGCTGTACCGCCTAACACGTCATTAGCCGGCAAATTGTCTAATGCGAGTGGTTTAATAAATACTTTAATGGGTTTGTTGGGCAATATTCAGGGTTAATTAAATAAATACTATATGTCCTACAATTTAAGTTTAAATTATAAAAGTAGCGAATAATAAATTATTTTGCAATTTATCGAAATGTGTTTTTTTTTGTCCAGATATTGTTATTAGCTTTGTGTTTGTGAAGTTAGTTAAATTGATTATTAGCTTATCTAGTCTTGTCCGTGTGGTGACAGATTAAGAATACGGCGTCTCACCACCCCTATTCATCCCGTCCGACTGAAGGATCAAACTACACAAAACAACGGGCACGGCACTGCAAAAAGAAGGCAAACTTTAAAACAAACCCAACAATACCAACCCGTCTGGCCAGCGTTGTATAGTAGGCCAAAACCTCCTTTCTAAGGACAGGCCTATGTCCAGAAGTGTATTATTAAAGGCTGTTAATGACGTGACGATTATTATTTTTATTATTATTTGTATTAGTCACTATTAATGCAGAAGCACAAGCAAACTCGGGCACATATCGTCCGGCTCTTCCGAAATGATTGCAGAGCCTATACAATGGTAACCAGACTGCTGATAAACATGCTTTTATATTCCTAAATACATACAGACCTATTCCAGATAAATTACACCCAGACAAAACAAATGATAGTGCTCATCACACAATAATTTATCCTGGGAATGGTACCCACGACCTCCAGCTTACCAGTGAGGGTCACTAACCCAGTAGACCAACAGACCAATCGCAATAACTTGGTAGTACAAGGATTCAGAGATCATAAAGTAATCCTATTAAACCTTTAAGGGTCGGTTTAATATTAAGTCACAAGGATTGCCTTGGAATTAATCGCCTCTCCTCTTGTTTAATATATTTAAAAGGTCGTGTTTTTAGCCCCATATCTATCATAGTATGTATTAATTTAGTTAAAACTAGCTTTTGCCCGCGGCTTAGCCCGCATGTATGTCGGCTATCGCGGTAAAAAGTAGCCTATGTTACTCGCTGAAAATTTAGCTTTTCATTGGTTAAAGAATTTATAAAATCGGTTTCGAAGTGAAAGCGTATCAAACAAATGATTTAGTTTTCGATACCACCAATAGAAGCGGAGCATCGATAAAAAATATTGGAAAGACGAGGAAAATTTAATTGAAAATGTATACTTGATGAAAACGAGTTCTTGAGTGGAGACCGCGTCTCGGCAAACGTAGTGTAGGACGCCCACAGGCCAGGTGGAGTAACCATTTGCGCAAGATGGCTGGCAGGAGCTGGATGCGAGGATGGAGAAGCCCAAAATCGATCTAAGTGGCGTGCAATGGGAGAAGCCCTTTGACTGCACGGATGGCGTAGTGATTTAAGCGATCGCCACGCCGCTTCCTACTGCGAGTGTTGTGGGTTCAAACCGCACATGGGACGACACTTTGTGTGATCCACAAATTGTTGTTCTTGTGTCCGTTCCATGCATTTATGCATGTTTGTAAAGTCCCCCGCGACACAGGATAATATATTCCTAATGTGGGAGTTGTCTTTTTAAATATATATAAAAAAAAAAGAACAAATAAAACCTATGTCAAGCAGTTACAGCAGATATACTTGACTCCTAAAGTTTTATTTAGCCGTATTCACATAATGTTTAATTTTACAGTACATATTGCTTAAAGATTTTAGCTTTGTGTACTTCTTATGCAAATTATCATCATTAACAGCCTTTAGTAGTCTCAGGCCTCTCCATAAACAGGAGGGTTTGGCCTACTATACCACGTTGGCCAGATGGTTTGGTATAGGGTTTGTATCAAGTTTTCCTTCTCTTTGCAGTGTTGCTGTACTGCATAGTTCACTCCCTTAGTCGGCTCTTACGATACGAATAGAAGACAAAGAATAGGGGTGGTGGGGTTCTTCTACTACATATAAACAGTAAGTATTCTAAATTTAATTATTATGTTTCTGTACCTACGCCATATTTGTTGAAAAAAGTTACAAAGTATTTTCTTCTGTATATGAATTTTTGGTAGTAAAGGAAAAACAGAAAACGGATTACAAATAAAATACATTTTTATTAAAGCTAACATTTAGAGACATACAAAGTATTGTTCTTTTACAATTAAATATATTAATTATTGAATTTTAGTTCCAAGGACGTAATCACTCATAAAATTTTTATTAGTTTTCTTAAATTAATAATACTAATTAGTACAGATGCATAACGCAATATCGAAAAACACTCTATCTTTACATTTTTAATTCTTAATAAGTGTGAATGTAAATCGTTTTAGTAAATAAAACTATTGCCAAAAGCCCAAGGTTCCACCATCCCTATGGGATAATTTGGACCACCGTACCCATAACTCACTTGGGGTGCAACCACTCCAGGAAATATTACTTCAGGTACAATCGGCCCACATTGGTCACAAGCATACAACGGACCAAACGGGTTAACTTCAAAACCAAAATTGTTACAACCACAACCTATATTTGGCAAGCCAATCCCTGGTAGAATATTTGGCAGAATATTCGCCAGACTAGAATAGCCATTATTGCAACCACAACCGCAACCAATGTTTGGAATGTTTCCACAACCAAAATTGGGCACGAATGGAATATCACAACCGCATCCATAACCATTTGGAATCACTTCTGGATAAATAACATTTGGAATTATATCAATAACTGGTTCATAAGGGGCGACAACATCACATGGTGATATTACTGGATCAAAAGGTAGATAAGATAGATAGTCAGGTGTGATGACATCGATTGCTGGTGAATACAATGGAGCTTGGAAAGGAATAGTATCACATAACGGTGCTACCGTACCCTGCAATGTATTAAATCCACAAGGAGAATTCATCGTATTTTCTATTAGGTTGCTGACGATTAGTAGTTGAAGAGCATTTGCTAAGGCGTTTGATACTGAGTTGTCTATTATAGTGGTTGCGACTACGGGTTGTGTTGTGACGACTTGGGTCTGGCATGGTGAGGTCAATGGTATAACTTGAGCTTGCGTCTGAAAAAGGATAAAGGTACGTGGTTTAATTATTTTATATTATATACGTTGACTAATATTTACAACGCTAAAGCTGAATGGTTTGGTTGAATGGCAACAATGGAATTAAAACCATAAATTTAAAAAATAACTGTCTGTGTTTATTAGCCTAATTTTATTTAACAAAGAGATGATATAATAACAGTTAGAAATGATTTAACAGGAGTTATATTTCTTTTACTATTATTAAGTATGAATATTTTTTTGGCGAACGCCAAAAGTATTTTGCAATAAAATGAACGACTGCGTAAAAAAAGATGTCGAGTGATAGAAGAGAAATTAAGAAAAAAACTTATTGCACAGACTCTAAATAAATTTGAAACAAGTAAATAGAACAATCAATATCTGTTTTAAAATGAAGAAAAACGAAACTGTTTTGTGTTAATCTTTATTAACAGGTATCAAATACTTACTGCACACAAAATGGCCGCCAAGAAAATATATAACACCTCCATCTTGTAAAACCTACATAATAAACACTGCGACCTCTTTTATACTAGTAACCTAGGATTACAAAAGAAAATGTAACAATGAACTAATTAATTTCGTAAATAACGATAGCATATTTTCCAAGAATGTAAAAAAATAACTATGTTTTAGTAATATAAACCTTTATCGACACCTGCTGCCAACTTTTAGAAATAAAGCTGACAAATTCAAAATAACTACAATCTATTACTGTTTCAATAACTTGTTGCACAGTATTTGCACACACTTTAATTTTGTTGGATTATCAATAGATAAACAATTACTAAACTACTCAGGAAAACAACACTGCAAAGAGAAGGAAAACTTGATAAAAACCCTATACCGACCCGTCTGGCCAGCGTTGTATAGTAGGCCAAAACCTCCTTTCTAAAGAGAGGCCTATGTCCAGCAGTCGACTTTTAAAGGCTGTTGATGAAACAATTACTATGTATGTATGTTTATAGTTGTTCCCAAAATAGGGCGGTAATAAAACGCCTCTGGATACCCCTTCCGCGATGCGTGAATGTTACCACACGATCTCAATTTTTTTTAAAGTTTTGACAAAGTATAACCTTCTTTCATCATGAGACAGACATCTTAATGAATTGTAACAAATTGTATTCTTCATTCCTTAATTTTCCACCCTAAAGGTGGTATTCTACCTCTTTTTTTTTAAACAGGCAACTCCCGACCTAGGAATATATCCTGTGTCGCGGGGGACTTTCAAACATACATGAAACCAAAAAGTTGCTACCAATACGCTTTCGCCGGGTTCTTCATATTATTTCTCTTTTATACAGTGTTCATCCGTGTGTTGACGGATTAAGAATACAGTGTGTCACCACCCCTATTCATCCCGTGGGTGTCGTAAGAGGCGACTAAGGGAGCGAAATACGCAGGACAGCAGCACTGCAGAGAGAAGGAAAACTTGACACAAACCCTTTACCAACCCGTCTGGCCTGCGTGGTATAGTAGGCCAAAACCTCCTTTCTAAGGAGAGGCCTATGTCCAGCAGTGGACTGTTAAAGGCTGTCGATGATGATGATGATGATACAGTGTTGTTTCATCCCCACACACCCTATTGTCTCAAAGAATTTAAATAAACAATAGTGTGCAGACAAATCTTTTACTGTGCAAGGAGTAAGACTTTGGAACAACTTGCCTTTGACAATCCGACAAGCCTTGCCCGTTTTCAAAAAGCTAGTGAAGGATTTTTATTTGATATTCTAAATACTCTTGGTTTCATTATATACAGTATATATTTAAGATTGTGTATGTAAAAAAAATAATTTATGTGTGTAATGTATGTGTATTTATATGTACCTATGTAATGTGAATAGATGTATATGCGTGTATTAATGCTTTTGTTGATATTTTAAACATTCACGTGGTAATGCGTTCCGTGTATTTAAACTACCCAAATTTTTAAATATCTAATATCCGTATTAAGGTTGTCTGTAAGAGATTGCTGTGAGCGGTAAGATCGCTGATTGTTACGTCTACGTATTTGTAAGTAATCATTATTTATGTGACTGTATACACTAAAGATATAAATAAATAAATGAAACGGACACAAAGAACACCCAGACTCAGAACGACAATTTGTGGCCCACACAAAGTGTCGTCTCATGTGGGGATCGAACCCACAACACTCAGGAAACGGAGTAGTGATCGCTTAATCCACTAGGCCATCCGTGCAGTCATTGATTGACTGGGACCAACCGGGTAATACTATACGGATTTTTTTTAATTTGGGTGTAGAAGTATTCACCTACCCACCCAAATTGAAAAAAATAATCCAAATCTGATGGAGTTCTAAAGCAAAAAACGTAAAAAAAGAACAAACTGAATAATTTTATTTTAGTTGAATACAAAATATATGATTTGTGTTAAAATTATTAGAATCCATCAAATACAAAAAGATATCTTGTATACTTAAGATATCTTTTTTACTTAGAATTATGATATTTTAAGATAAATTCAAGATAAATCACACAATTTCTTATCTAAATATATAACAGATTATAACTCATTGTGACAGATTGAAGATAACATTTACTATATCAATGGATGATAATATTAATTTGAAATATATTAAAGACTGCGTTTTAGAAGACGACATGAGGAATACAGTGATTTCTTTTTTATCGATGATATTATTGATGGCCATGGTACGTATTTTTATTCTTTCATCTTATAGTTCGACCTTTTTAAACGACTAATAATTAATAGTCCATGTACTGACGGATTAAGAATACGGAGTGTCACACATTCATCCCGTGGGTGTCGTAAGAGCCGACTAAGGGCGCAAAACAACGCAGGACACCAGCACTGCAAAAAGAAGGAAAACTTGAAACAAACCCTATACCAATCCGTCTGGCCAGCGCGGTATAGTAGGCTAAAACCTCCTTTCTAAAGAGAGGCTTATGTCCAGCAGTGGACTATTAAAGGCTGTTGATGATGATGATGAACCGACTTCAAAAAGGAGGAGGTTCTCAATTCGATTGGTATTTTTTTTTATAGTAGGTACAAGCTGACCCGGCAAAAGTTGTTTTTTTTTTTTTGTTGTTAAATAATGTATATCACTATTTAACAAAAAAGAAATAAGGGGTGGGTCCCTTATCATATAGGGGTATGATCAATAGATTTTACCCGATTCTCTACCCGATATGCACACAAAATCGTTTAAGACGTATCGGAGGAGTTTGGTAATAAACACCGCGACCCACGACCCCCGGCTTAGCAGTCAGGTTCAATAACCACTAGACCAACGGACCCGTCGTTTGCTCCCTGTTACACAAAAAAAAACGCAATTAGTCAACTTATAAAATACTTTTTATTACAGATGCCATCATTAAACGCACAGCGGTCCGTACAGCAATATTTTCATCTAACTGGACTACCGTATTCTAGTCCACAACTGCCAGCAACTCCTCATACCACTACATCCCACAACATAGTTACCAGTCCAGCAACCAGCCAGGCAATTCCCGCAACTGGGCTACCTTCATTGGCAGCTCTTTCATTACCCAGCCTGATAGTTGCAGCAACACAACCACAAACAGAACCATGCGAATTACCAAGTCCAAAAGATTCGAACATTGACGGAAAACTGCTCAATAATTTAGCCATAGCATTACAGATGCTAATATTGAGCAATATTTTGAATACAAGTCCTACAGATAAAGCATCTGATGTGTGTAAACCGAAAATTGCTGAGTCACCTCAAAATAATTTCAGCCCAACTCCAACTACTTATAGCCAAACTCATAGCCCAACTGAACCCAGTTACAGTCCATTTCAACTCAGTTACAGCCCACCTCAAACTAGCTATAGTCCACCTCAAACTACATATAGCTCCCAGCCGAGTTATGGTCAGCCTCAATACAGTTACACTCAACCTCAAAGCAGTTATAGTTCGACTCAAAATACTTATGGTCAAAATCCGAATAGTTATAGCCCAACTCAAAGCAATTATAGCCCACCTCAAACTGAATATTATGTATCTCAGCCCGAACAAATACTGCCAAGTGGTAATCTTGTAAGTATCTCTAATTTTGTTGAACCAAAACTAGAGCAAACATTAAAACGCACTCGAAATAATTTTGATTTTGTGTCACCGTATGAAGCTTTGGCTAAATCTTATTCAGACTCATCCTCAACATATATGCCTTCGGTTTCCAGGCGAGATTTCCAATCACCTTACACAATGATAGATACAAATATGGATTTCTTTCCAATGAATGATTTGTTTTGATTTTATTAAATTAATGGTTTTTGAACATATCATCACAGAGTTTCAAGAAAAACAGTCACTGTACATAAATCAAGCGAAACCTAATGTAATTGCAATTGTATTTAAACGAGCACATTGGCTAATTAGTTAGAGGTATTTAGTAGCCATATTTATTAAGGGTTAGTTTCATCTACTTTTTAAATATTTTAATAATTAAATAATGTAATAAAAAATAATGAGACTTTTATTACAGACTCATATCAATATTAGTAAATTGTATACCTATGTCATTAATTTATAATAATTTTATTAAATTAATATCGATTTTGCTATTCCAGAATATAATTATGTCTAGGATAAATTTCATTCAGATTTGTTTAAAAGTTCTGCCAAAATTAAGTTACAGTATTTAGACACATTCCGTTTGATGACGAATTAAGAATGCAGAGTGTCACCACCCCTATTCCATCCCTTGGTTGTCGTAAGAGGCGATTAAGGGAGCAAACTACGCAGTACAACAGCACTGCAGAGAGAAGGAAAACTTGACACAAACCCTATACCAACCCGTCTGGCCAGCGTGATATAGTAGGCCAAAACCTCCTTTCTAAGGAGAGGCCTATGTCCAGCAGTGGACTGTTAGAGGCTGTTGATGTGATGACATAGGTATACGAGTATATGTTTACATTCTACATATCGTATGTATATTTATTAATACGTGAAGGAATTCCTGATGTAAAAGTGCTGATGAATGTGAAAGTTGAAAAAAATGGAATTCTTCGAGGAATTGTTGAGCAAAGTTTTCGAAAACTTCATCAACGGTCTTCAGTAGTCCACTGGTGGACATAGGCCTCTTCTTAAAAAGGAGTTTCTAAAAGTTACGTTAGTGGTTAAGAAATAGGTCTTGAAATCTGTGTAGCATCAACACGGTCGGGTATCCCCCTTTTTTTTTAGGTGTCCTACTCTGGGGAGGACCCGGACCATGTTATGTCAGGTCCTCCCCGAATTGACACCATGCCTAATCAGGCCCTATCTCAGGGGAGAACACTTCCCCCTTCAATCGCGGCATGGCGGCCGATCGCATCTTAATGCAATCAGGCCGGCCATTCCATACCCTCTGCAATCAATCTGCCACCAGAGATCCCCACTCTCTGGCGGCCCGCAGCCCCGTCCACGGGAACAGACCGCAGACACAGAACATATGATCGAACCGGCTTAAACCACACGGTGTGCCCATTTGCACCTGAAATAGCCCTCCGGTTCTGTTTTTAAGACATCCGGAGATCCTATCTTAGGGTAAAATCTCTTATGTAGACGACGTCCGGCACAATCAGATGTAGCGTGTCTCCTCGCAGCTGGCCATTACGGCGAGTGAAAGTGAAAACCCGTCCCGTCCACCGGCGGCTACATCCAAAGCGTCATGAGGAGCTAGAATGCGGGCCACCCCCACGGTGACTTGGGTCCGAGTTGGAATCTTCCTACCGGGCCCTCTCCGCTGCTACCTTCTGCAAGACGACATCGTCGCAGAAGAATGCGACCGCTTTAAAACATTTGTCACTACCGGCCATAGAGACGGCCGGTAGTAAGAGGTAATATCGAAGTTCTGTAGAAAGACTGTTTTCGGAATTTTTAGGGCTCCGACTACCCAAAACGGTTGCCACAGCTTTTGGCGATGGCACGGAAAGGTCTCAATGTGTTTAGAATGGTCACCTATCCATGGAGTGACCTGGCTAGGATTACTTAACTTTATAATGTGTTAACTAACTCGGTTACCACTTAGCCATACGCCCTTCATAAGTAAGATCATCATCAACATCAACAGCCTAAACCAGTCCACTGTTGGACATAGGCCTCTCCTTAGAAAGGAGGTTTTGGCCAACTATACCACGCTGGCTAGACGGGTTGGTATAGGTTTCGTTTTCTTTCTCTTTGCAGTGCTGTTGTCCTGCGTAGTCTGCTCCCTTAGTCGGCTTTTACGACACCCGTGGGATGAATAGGGGTGGTGACACTCCGTATTCTTAATCCGTCACCACACGTATTGTAAATAAGTAAGATTGATAACAGAAATCATTACTCGACGCTGTAATGGATAATATTCTATACAAAGTTTACAATGAAAATTATAAGCTTCCTGTTGTATTAAAATATTTTAAAGCAGTTGTGTTGGTGTACATTTCCTTTTGATAATATTATCCTTTGTTCTTCCTACCCGTCGTAAATAATAACCACTTTGATCTGAGTAATTGCTTTGCCTGTTTATTTCTTGGAAAACATTTTGAACAAGCTTTCCTTTATAAATGAATAACAAAGCAGCAATCGTACAATACATTACAGGTTTATAAATTAAGATGTTGATTATTCTTAATTCTACTTGGTTGTAAGATTTTGAGTACACAATTTTATGTTTCTGATTTGTGCTTTTAATGGTTAAAAATAGAGATCAAAATGTAATAGTCGCACCAAACACCCTAGTCTCGTGACCGGCCCAGTGGGTTACGTCACTTTCTTATTAATATTTCTGTAGTTTATCTATATATATAAAAGAAAGTCGTGTTAGTTACACTATTTATAACTCAAGAACGGCTTTACAGATATGGTTAAAAATTGGTGGGGAGGTTGCTTAGAGCCAGGAGACGGACATAGGATACTATTTATTCCGTTCGACAGTGTTTTTTTTTTTTTTTTTTTTAAACGAACGTCCATGTTATTCCCATGGTCAATTATATGTGGCATGTTCAAGGGTCGGAACACCATCTGCGTTGTTTGTTTTTGCGCCTGATAAGAAAACAAAAAATGTCGTGTATCAAAAGGTACTTAAGTGAAGAGCAACCTATCTACTGAAATGCAGAAACAATAATAAATGATTAATGTACTTCATTTATTTTTCTAAGAAAAAAATTAACTTACTAAATTCGAAAATGGGCTTATTTATTGCCTTTAAGGCGGAACAGAGTTCGCCGGGTCAGCTAGTATAATTATAATTTTGGCCTATTTTATATCATCAAGGCAACTGACAAAACAAGCTTTGAGTTAAAGTTTGAGATATATGATACCAAATGAACAAAAAAAATGTTTGCTACGCTTTCATGACTACACCACTAAACCGATTTAAAAAAAAAAAACACCAATGGAAAGCTACATTACGCGATAACCGATATACATGCAGGCGGAGCCACGGGCAACAGCTAGTCTTAATATATTTCGTTAAATTTTAAATTATCACTGAATAAAATATCCAATCAACGATTGTTAAAGAATTGAAGATCTTCAAACAGTTTAACAGATTTACTTTTCATCCGTTGAAGAGCTGTGATGTTGCATCTTTCCTTTTTGAGTCAGGGTTACAAGACTTATACCTCCCCCACGCTAATTACTGTAACCCCTGTACACCAGAATCAACAGCAGTGACTCGAGGTAACACAACGAGTTACGACAGTCCGACACGGGAAGTTCCAAGAAAAATTAAACTGCCTCAGGACTCGCAACAAAATTAATCAGAAAAAACTTTGAGGAATATAATAAAGCTACTTCCCTCCTAAGTAAAGCGGGAGACAAAATGAATGAAGGGAATAAAAATAGGCATACACCTTTTTAAACAGGGAAGCAATACGACCAAAAAATATTATGGGTCCTAAGCTATATTTGATTTTTATAATATCTATAGCAGCAAACGCACGGAAATTCATCCTTGTTGACACAAAATCCTCATAGTATCCCCGTCCCGTCTAACCGATCGCCAAGTCCGGTATAGTCGGGACTGATAATCCCAATCGTTCCGGGGTAGTGTACTTCAATTAAAATATACCTAATGCCTTAAGAAGGTCAAAACAAAATGGTGTGTAATGGAGAAACCGTTTCTACACGTGTAACCTATAGCCCAGATAAGGCCTGAAATATTAAGTTACCATATTAAATTTATATTATAGAATACTGATTGATATACCAAGAAAATGTGGGAGTACGACATTATCTCGTTGCTAAGCAACAGATCCAAATTCTTAGAACGGTAATAAACTTCATAAAATTCGTAAACTTATAAAACGAAATGCCAAGAGCTATTCTCGTCAGTAAAGTTTTGTTATCTGTACAAATGTTATTATATGTTTGGAATCTGAGGAACTGCTGTCTAGAATAAAAAAAAGCTTTTAGTATTATATAGCCTATTTACCGAGGAAGGCTACAGACTATATAACGTAACACTGCGACCAATAAGAGCCGAGCATCAATAAAATTAGTTGCAAAAAAAAAGGGAGAAAATTTGTTCCTTTTGAGACACAGAATTTACTAAATTTTTTGTGAACAACTAGAAAAAAAAATATCGATCTTAAAAAAAGAAAATCAACATTTGATCTGAGCCGGGCATCGAACCCGAGACCTCAGCACAGCAGTCGCATAAGTTACCACTGCACCACCGAGGCAGATGGGTGGCAATAGCCACTTACCACCAATTAGTGTTAGGTTTTATCTGCTCGTTTGCCCAAAAAAAACCTTTAAAAAATCTAGATGATAATAGTATCATCTAGATTTTTTAAAGGTTTTTTTTACGCACGCATAGGCGTATGGTGACGTATCCGTGTGGTGACGGATTAAGAATACAGAGTGTCACCACCCCTATTCATCCCGTGGGTGTTGTAAGAGCCGTCTAAGTGTGCAAAATTTGTAGGACAACAGTACTGCAAAAAGAAGGAAAACTTGAAACAAACCTTATACCAACCCGTCTGGCCAACGTGGTATAGAAGGCCAAAACCTTTACCTTTACCTCCATTGTAAGGAGAGGCCTGTGTCCAGCAGTGGACTGTTAGGGGCTGTTTATGATGATGATGATTCACGAAGAAAGGCTTGAACTCACTGTATTGGAAGAATATTACACTATTTAAAACACAAAGATCGAATCATTTGTGGAGGTTAGGGATTAGATGGTCAGAAAGTTGCGTATCCGGGCGAAAATTTTGATTGCGCGGTGCAAAATTTGACTTCCACTAATCAAAATATTACAGATGATTATGAGTATGGAGTATCTATACCATTACATAAATGCTTGTCTTCTCTTTGTGTTTGAGAGAGAAGACTCAGAAGTAGTAAGTAGCGAATATGAAAGAAGTTCAAGAAAAGATTACAACTTTAAAGAGTGTCATAAAGTTTTCAAACTGCAGTAGTTTTAGTTTCTTTTGTTGCATAGAGTTTCCCTTATCTATCTTCTTAATTCTATCTCTTTTCTTTACCCAAATATGTCTTCTTTTCATCTCGAAACGATGACATTCCCAAAATGTCACAAGAATTCGAAAATTTCCAAGTAGTTGTTACATCACATAAAAAAGGATTTTGCGATGATGATGATTTCCGACGTTGACGGATGGAAGAAGGATTACAAGACAGACTCGTACTTGACGAGTCTTTCTTAGTTTTACTAAACTGCAATCATTCCTTACTTAACACATCTAAGTTACAAAGACCACGTCTAACATTAAAATGTTACCTAATTTATATCTTATCAAAATGTATTATTTACTATAATTATTTCTTTATAAGTTATCGGTAAACTCTTGAGTAATACGACTATATGATAATAAGATACTATATAAATGCCATGCACATTTGCATGACATTATAACATTTCAATTTAACAACAGAAGCAGTTGTCAAAAAAACAACATGGCCGCCAAAATTGTTGGTTTTCTTTGCGTGCAACTTGCACTTTTCAATGTAAGTATTTGGATAATATTATATACATAAAACTATTATAAATAAATAAATTAAAATACCTACATAAATAATTTAGAAATATTGATTTTATAGTGTCAAAAAATTGGTAGCGTTCCCAGAATTCTGGTAACTTTGCGATATTGAATGGCAATGCTTCTATGTGCTAGAAAATGGCCCGCTATCTGGTCTAAGTTAGTTCTTTATAAATATAACCAAGAGTTGTAGTATCATGGGTTATAATAATATTCGTTGTTCTTTGTTCTTTCTAAGCTATTTTTTTGTGAAATGAGTCGTTATACTTCAGTAGTTCAGCGAGTTGAGTACGAACCGTCTGTAAAGCCCTAGTTTCGCATGCGTATTAGAACACATAATGCCAATATTTATTCATTATTATGTGTTAATCTTAGGAGATAGGTAGGTAGATAGGTAGATTAAGAATACTGAGTGTCACCACCCCTATTCATCCTGTGGGTGTCGTCAGAGCCGACTAAAGGAGAAAACTATGCATAGCAACAGCACTGCAGAGAGAAGGAAAACTTGACACAAACCCTATACCAACCCGTCTGGGCAGCGTGGTATAGTAGGCCAAAACCTGCTTTCTAAGGAGAGACTCCTGGCCAGTAGTGGACTGTTAAAGGTTTAATGAATTTTACATCTTAAGTTTCTCTATGAATTACTTGTGGAGTTTGTTGTTTTTATACAGACAGACATAACGTGGTACTATATTTAATAATATGTAGCTTTTGTTTTCTTTCTATTCTTTTATATTGCTTTGAGGGTACGACGGGTTTTTATCCGATACGATCACACAAATACGTCTTATTTCCATAATGTCATTATTTTTACAGGTAATTCAAGCTCAATGCCTGAACAGATTTCCTGGACTCTTACCTGGATGTGGTGTAGGACCTGGTCTTCTACCCGTAGAGGAAACTATCATCCCAAACCAAGTCCTATTAAACCCAAATTACCGGACTCAAGTTGTGGACGTACCGTACGGACTTGAAACCGTCGTCTCCAATCCAGTTACATTACCAGGCACCACAATTATCCAAGACAGTACGGTTGCCAACAACTTGGCCAATGCGTTACAACTCTTGGTTGTGAGCAATTTACTTAGCAACACCTTGCCTACTGCTAATGAAATCTACGTCCCATCCTATGGCCCTATGGATTACGGGATGGTGTCCCCCATCATCAGCTCCTGTGGTTACAGCCCTTACAATTACATTTATTAATTTATGTGTATCTATTATACGTTTTAATCATGGTTATATTATGTAAATAAAATTATATTTGTGTATTTTATGTGTTTTTTTTAACGGGTACATACACCATCATATTATCAACACATCCACAGCCTTTAAGAGTGCACTGGTGGACACAGGCCTCTCCTTAGAAAGGAGGTTTTGATCCTTTCGTTAAGGGATAAAATAAATTCAAATTTGAGTGGGATTTGGTATTCAATACCCTTCTGCCCCGGCTTTAGGTTGTGTCATCTGTTACTACCAAAAACCACAGATGATGAATAAAACAGCAAGAAACAAGGAATTATACAGTTGATATTATACCGGATGTCGTAGGTTCGATCCCAATCAGAACAAATAATTGTGTGACGATCGGTTGTTCTGCGTCTGGGTGTTGGTAATTTATCCATACTAATATTATAAATGCGAAAGTGTGTCTGTGTGCCTGTCTATCTATCTGGTACCTTTTCACGCTTAAATCGCTTAACCGATTTAGATGAAATTTAGTATAGCGATAATTTGAGTCCCGGGTAATTAATACATACATACGTAGGAAAGTTTTATCCTACGAATCATCCTTTAAGGGGGTGAAAAGGGGAGGTGGAAGTTTGCACGAGGAATCAATAACTGCTCAACCAATTTAGAGGAAATTTGGTATAGGGATAGTTTGATTCGCTTCCAAAACTCAAAAAGCTCTGTACCGATTGAACTCATTCAGACCTATTCAAAGATGGTTTATATCTATTTTCACGTCGGTTTTGTTCGTGATTTCACATTATGTGCTACAGCGAAGCGTGGCAGGGTACTACTAGCCACCAGGGACTTCCTTTCTAGGGTATACCTAGTTCCCCGGCTATTAGTACCCGAGACGGCGTGCGGTTTTAGTCGGTTCGAGTCCGACATGCCACCGACAGGTGGTATCCAAGGGGATTTCCGCACGGAAAAAAAGAAAAGGGGTAGTACTAGTAGTCTATAAATAACCGTTTTTGTAACACCTTGTATTTGTTCACATAATATACAGGGAGAGAAAGTTCCGCCCACAGTTTGGTATAATGATATTCAACGTTCGTTCAACTTTGAACAACGAAAACACACGGACATATTTTTGACTATCGCTATACTGCGTTTTACGTATACATTGTATTAATTTGCTGTAAAATAAAGAGTTTTATTATTATTATCGACGATCTATTTACGCGTTTATGACGCGGTTGTTGTGTGGTTTCACTTCACTTAACAATCACATTTTGCGGGTTCGATTCCGGCTCGATACAAATACCTGTGTATGGTTAAATTTTAGACGCATTATTTGTAGCTGACAAATAGTTGGTTTAACTGAAAAAGTATTTCTTTATATGTCATAGGTGTCAAACGTGGATGAGTGACCTGGTGGTAAAAGACTAAGGCCGCCCATGGACACCTGCAACTCAGGAGTCAAGAGTACGTTGAAACCGTACTCATTTACTGCCTAACACTGGTTTTCTGTATACAAATCGCTCCTAGAAGCCTTCTGGAGGAGCCTTCCAGGAGGCTTCCAGGAGCCTTCCAGGAGGCTTCTGCGCTTCTGGAAGGAGCTTAGTTGGCTAATCTAGCCACCCTTTCCTCGATGCATAAAGGACCATTCTTGACTCTACATGTAAAAATCCACGCCCACTACCAATACAAATAAAAAAGTACTGGTTTTCTATAAGACCGTGCTAACATTCTGATCGAGCTGACCCTAATATTAATATGGAGCTATATCCAGTTACCATGTATGAGTGATACCACCGCCTCACATTAAGTCGGCTTTAAGCAATTCTTTCATTCGTTTTCACCGACTATGTGAGATTAACGCCCACCTCCTCTCTCCCCCACAAAATTAGCATACAAAGAATGGCACCGCACTTATTACTTGCTATATATATATATATATAGGTGCTAGCCATGAGGCTCAATCTCTGGCAGAATTTTAAGCTAATTTATTTGGCATAATCTTCATTAAACGAATATTTTTAAGGCACAAAAATATATTTCTTGTTTGGAAGAATGTTTATATTATAATGACCGTATTTGAAATTTAAATTAAAAAAAATGACATACTTTTAGTAAAGTAGAATTTTATTCGGCATAATTACATTTGACTAAGTTATAATTTTGCATAATTTCATTTAGCATAAGTTTTATTTAGAGCGACGATTGTTTTGCACAATTTCACTTGGCATATTATGAAGATTGCAGAATTTTATTTTGAAATAATTTCATTCGGCGAATTGGAATTCGATCGATGGAAACGAATCGCAGCAAAACCTTCCGCTGTAAAACCGAAGCTGAGACGGTGAACATTAAAACCACATGCAACGATACTCGCGTGGGACTGCTACCGGAGCCCCGCAACGCTGGAGCTGAGACAGAAACCATGCCTAGCATATATATAATATATATATTTTTTTTTTAAAAGACTACTCTCGCACTAGGAACAAATCCTGTGTCGCGGGAGACTTTACAAACTTACATGAAATGCATACAAAGAACACCCAGACTCAGAACAACAATTTGTGGATCACACATAGTGTCGTCCCATGTGGGGATCAGACCCACGACACTCAGCGTGGCGACCGCTTAAACCACTACGCTATCCGTGCAGTCGATGCATATTGCATGATCGCTTGCATGCATTCTGTAATTTGATAGATGAGTCTTTCAATTATTATGAATATGAAATGTATGCCAAAAGTTCATTCTAATTGTGAACTTGATAAGACATGTTAGTCCTGCCTTTTAATGACTATCGATATGAAATTTATGACAAAAGACGATTCTGACTGTAAAGTTGCTGCGACATGATGATTCTACTTTATAAATAATACGGATATGTAAAGATGATTCTGACTGACAAAATTATGAGTTCAAATTATGAGTTCAAATTATGAGTTCAAATTATGAGTTCAAATTATGAGTTCAAATTATGAGTTCAAATTATGAGTGACTTACAAAGTGCAGATCTATTTTCTGCAAAATGTCTCCAACTCATTCACAGATGGATTTCTCTTCAAGTACAAAAATAAAATTAAGCAGTTTTTTAATAATTTTATTTAATACTAAAACTAGTTTCAGACACACTGTTACTAACATAATATGGATTATGTCTGAAATAAATAATTAGAAATTAATTACACAAAAAAAACTAAACTGATTTTTTTTTATCAATTTTTTTTATTGAACGCTGCCGTCTAAAATGAAGGTCCGTATGTTTCTAAATCAAAACTAGAACTTCTCCAGTGATTGATTACCTCATACTGCGCACTACAGACATAATATATAACTAAACTTCCCCTGTGTCCCTGTGTATACACAAAATAGTGAAACTGGAGAACTGATTCTAGGGAGAGAGGCAGTCAAGGGACGGGAACACACTGGTGTTTCTTTAGTTGCACGGTGACTTACCATCAGGTGAAACACAAAACAGCTAGACTTTTTTTATTAAATTGTTTTATTTTATTGAATGTAGCCGTCTGAGTTCAAGATTCGTATGTTTCTAGACTAAAAGTTCTCCAGTGATTGATCACCACGCAATGTAATATATACTCAACTAAACTTTCCCTGTGTATTCAAGAAATAGTTAAATAATTGAATTTATTTGGTTTAAATTTAATCATGAAAATATATAGTACTAGCTGGTACCCGCGACTTTGCGTGGAATTTGAAAAACGCTGCCTTTTTGGGTTCGATTCCTGGTCCGGCCAAAATTTTAAAGGGTTGTTCTGAGAAGAAAAATAGCCTAAGTTATTCCTTATATAGACAGCTACCTGGTAGTAAAATATTATCAAAATTGGTAAAGCCGTTTAGAAGATTACCCGGTACACATAGACAGACAGACATGTAGACAGACAGACAAAAAGATGTAAACTGGTTTTTAGGTCTATTATTTTGACATTCCAAACAGATCAACTTCAATTTAATTTATTTGTATAGATTGTAGTCTAGGAGCAGAGGCAATCTTGATTGTGGGAGTCAGGATCTGTGTTCAGCAATTTTTTCGTGGCGTTTGTGGAACAAGGTTATTCCGAAGTGAGAGAGGGGGGGCGGGTTGTCAGTCAAGGGACTGAAATATATTTGTATTTCTTAAGTTGCAGGTATTTATGGCGGTGGTAGGTTGGTAGGTTTGTACGTGTGGTGACGGGTTAAGAATACGGAGTGTCAAGACCTCTACTTATCAAGGCGGTGTCGTAAGACTGAGGGACCGAACTACGCAGGACAACAGCACTGCAAAAGAGAACTAAAACTTGAAACAAACCCTATAGCAACCCGTCTGGCTTGCGTGGTATAGTAGGCCGAAACCTCCTTTCTTAGGAGGCTTCCTATTAAAGGCTGGTGATGTGTGATGTGTTAATTGCGGTAGTCAATTACCATCACCTGACCCGTCTACTCGTTTGTCCCTCTTATACCCAATAAAGACTTAAAAGTTTGTTACCAAATTGTTCTCTTCTTTTTAATGGAACTCAACCGTCTAGGTCGAGGGTCCATAAATATGTCTAAATCAAAAACTAGATGTTCTTCAATCTTTACGTACTACAATATATAACTAAACTTCCCCTGTTTTTTTTATGGTATGAGGGGGCAAACAAGCAGACGGGTCACCTGATGGTAAGCCTGGTTGAAAACCAGCGCTTGACATCTGTCAAGCAGATGCCGAACCAGGTCCTATTCGACTGGCACGTGAGGTACCTATACGTAAAAATGTCTTTTTGCTTAAGCCTAGTATTGAGTTTCAGTATAGTACATCTAAAGGTTGCCTGGAAGAGATCGTAGACTGCTATAAGGCCGCCCTGTATATCACTGTTTTTTTTATGATTACCATCATTAGAATACATACGATGAGTATGTATTCTAATGATGGTGGGCAAACCACAGTACCTATCTATCTATCTAAGTTTCTCTTATATTGTGTATGTTCTTACGTCCAAATAAATTGTTTTTCATTCTTTCTTTTTTTCTTTCAACTACCCCCG